TTAAGACAAGACTAACGACAAGACTTGACTTGACAAACAAAATAAAACTTGACAAACTAATTTGACAAACCATAATTTGACGACCAAATCCTAGGACTTCCTAACTTGCTCTGATACCAAAATGATGAGGGCAAGAAATATAAGGGGCCTATATCTCTTGAACCCACATAGACAACCCAAAAGAAACCAAAAAGAAGAAGGGAATTGACTAGAGATTTTAGAACAAACTCTTATATTTCAAATCTAACATAGATTTAGAAATTAAAAAAAAAACTTACAGAGACGACTCGTACACTTAAACAAATTACAATGACTCGAAATTAAAGACACCCTAAACTTGCTTCACTTAGAGAAGAAGGATACATATGGAGTGGCACTTGCGGAGAGACGAAAGAGGTTAGAAGCCAAGATGAAATGTTGGAAAGAGCTCGCAAGATTTTCGGAGGGAATGAGAAAGAAGACGGACAAAGCTCGCAAGCTTTTCCAAGCAAACCCGCAGGTTATAGCTTTTCCAAAAATAACATTTCATTACATTCTTAAAACAATACATAACCCCTCATATTTATAGGTATGAAAGGGGAATACCAAAAGACAAAACATTGAATTCTCATTGGAATTCCAAACATCACAACCCATAAAACCCTATTACTTTTTACGGAAAAACATCCCAAGTCCAAGAACCGAAGGAGCAACCGCGGGAGCCAAGGAGGCCACACGGAACCATGGCGCCACAGCCACGGGAAAACTCCCAGGCTCGGAAAACCAGCAACCGGCCGGAAATCCAAGGGACTAAGGCACGGAAAACAGCAACCCATGGTGGAAGCCAAGGAGCCACAGCATGGGAAAACGAAACAACTTTCTCGGGATTCCAAAAGCCCTTTTGGAACCCAAAAGACATCATAAATAAAAACAATAAAAAACTATAGAAATAACATTTAATAAAAAGATAAATAAGAACTAAAATGTTAGCTAATAATGAGCTAACCCTTAGTTCAATAAGTGAACTAAAGACCAGCTCATAAATGAGCTAAAATTTCAGCTCAATTTTGATTGAGCTTGTAAACTCGAGGGAAGTCAAAAATTGATTTATTTTGGACATGAGTTGCCCCCCCCCCTTGTCTACATCATCGAGTTAGCGAGTTGACCCGATTTTTCAAACAAGTCGAAAATTAGAACCTAAACTTGACCCGTTTGTTAAATGGATTGACCCAAACTCGGATTTTCTGGGTCGAATTTGGGTCGACTTATCGGCTTGCGTCAATAATTGACGCCCCTACCAGTAATTGCCATAAAATAAATCTATTGTATTAAAAGTGAAAATTGTACGTCAATTTATCTACAATCACTCTTGGGAGCTCAGTTTAATGAGAAAGTGCACTGATGAAAAAATTATTCAACCTGTAATCACTAGATTTGCAACTACATATTTAACTTTGCAAAAATTTAATAAGTTAAGGCAATCATTAGAAGCCATGTTTGATTCTAAATAATGGGAAATAAATTCTTGGGCAAAAAATAATAAGGAAAGCAAGTGATAGAGATTGTTATGAAAGATTATTCTTTTTGGTGAAGTACAAAGTATGCTCTGAAAACTACCAGACTTTAGTTAAGGTATTAAGAATGGTTGAATAAGAAAAGGCCCCGGCAATGGGAGTTATTTATTAAGTTATAAATAAAGCTAAGAAGGACATAGCAAGAGATTTGGTACGTCAAGAAGGAGCCTACAATGAATTTTGAGAAACTATAAATGAAAAGTGAGATCGTTAGTTACAACAATACTTACATGCTGCTGCATATTATTTAAACCGTCAATTTCATTATGATAAGAATTCTCGTGTAGATAAAGAGGTAAATTTGATTTATATTCATGCATAAATAAACTTGTTCCTGAATATGCCTATCATAAAACAAATAATCACCCTGAGAATTTTCTTTTAAAGAATGAAATATTTTATTTATTGCAACTCAAGTATGTTACAAAACACGTTCTCCCAATACGTTTGCATTCATTTCTAATTGTAAATTTGAATGTTTACGTTTTAGCTTTCTACTTGAATACATGTTAATAATTTAATTTTTTATTCAATATAAAACATTGGTGAACTAAATTTAGAGATGATGTTTCCAAACTAAAAGCATTTATAGTTGAAGTTCATAGTCTAATATGTTTAGCTTTTGCACGTGAACGTAATTGAAGCGCCTTCAACCAAATTCATACTAAGAGAAGAAATTGATTGGTTGCAGGACGTATGAACAAGCTTGTTTATATTAATGTTTAACAAAAAACTATATGATTGGCACATCAAATTACAAAAGCAAATAACTATTGATGAGAAATTTGATTATTTAGTTGTTCATGACTTACAATTTGATGATGAATAACAATCACTCAATCAGTACTAATATTCTTGAAGCTGATGATGAATGACATACTTATGTTGATGAGGAGAATGAACAAATCAATGTTGACATTGAGCAGCTACTACTTCATAATTATATAAAAGGAAAAAACCAAAGTGAGGTTGGACATTCAAATAAATCAAAAGGTACTCTTAAATACAATGAATTATTTTGTGTTATTAATTTATCATTTTATTTTAAATTATATCTACCGTAATATTAATTGGTATAGACGATAAGAAAAAAAATATTATAGTTTAAAAAAATTTTGAAGATGACTTTGACTTAACTACAAGGATTCTTCTCAAGAATATCAAAATTACGATGAAACTGCCTTAGGACTTCATCCTTAAGGAGTAGTTAAGTTTTAAGTGAGTATTTAATTTGAATCTTGTTCCAAATGTTCATATGATAATAATTTTTACTTTCAAATAAACCATTATGTTGATAGTTTATTTTATTTTTATCATTTTTAAGAATTATTTATATTTTTTTAATATTTTATTTTTTCGTTTCTAGAGTTACGTCTCAATCCACCTCAATTCTTATGTGTTGCCTCATCAAGGCAAAACATCTCGATTCCCGATTTCGCCTTTTTAAATGGGGCTTGAAACAAATGACCTTATTGATCTACCAAGAGAATTCTTAAAATGGAGATCAACAAAAATAAAGAATATTGAGAATTGTTCTTGTCACAAGGTACATACAACAAAAGGCTTGTGAATGGGTATGGGGAAGCAACTTCTGAATGCTTCTACACCTTTAGCACAATATTTTATCTTCAGCAAGGATCAAGCACCAGGTACTGATATTGAAAGACTATATATGAAGAAGATTTCCCACCAAAATATTATTGGTAGTGTCATGTATCATGCATGACATGATTTGTTATAAGCAGGTTCATGGCTAATTTAGGGAGACATCATTTGGAAGCTACAAAATAGGTGCTAAGGTACTTCAATGCGACCACAACCTAAAGATTGAGATATGAAAAAAAAATGATTTTGTAGATGAAGTGATTACAAGTTGTGGATTAAAATTTTGTTGGCTGCTTTGATAAGCTAGTGATTGCCTATGTTAAGAAAGGTAGAGGTAGACCTAAAAAGACTTGACTAGAAAATATTAGAAATGACATTTGAGAAAAATAATTCATATGGCCGACCCCACATAGTGGGATAAAAGATTGATGTTGTTGTTATTGTTGTTGATGCTTTGATAAGCTAGTGATTACAAGGTAGTGTCATATATGCAACAACTTGTTATAAGCAGGTTCATGGCTAATCTAGGGAGACATCATTTGGAAGCTACAAAATAGGTGCTAAGATACTTATTGAAACCATGACCTAAACATTGAGGTATGAAAAATATGATTTTGTAGAAGAAGTGATTACAAGGTATGTAAATTCAAATTTTGTTGGATGCTTTGATACTCAAGATTCCTTACAAGTTATGTGCTTAAGGTGTTCAAAAATATTCTTAATTGGAAGGCAAATTTGCAACCAATTGTGGCATTTTTTATAATTGAAACTGAATACATTGTTGCATGAGAAGCCATAAAAGATATTTTACTAAATTGTTGATTCAGCACATGCTCACTCTTGTGCTTGTGTTTTGTAATAATCACAGCACATTATTCCTCTCCAAGAATCCCATGATCATGAAAAGATTAAGCATATGAATGTAAAAATCCATATTATCAAGGGGATATGGAGTTCACAAGGATTCTAATAGATGACAATGCATCATATATGTTAAAAAAAACGCTGGCTTCATCAGAATTTCAACATTGTTTAGTGTTGTTGAGGATAGTGATAGATGTTTGCTTAGATCTTTGTGAATTAAAGAACCACTCTGGAGATTATTGTTTTGGTCCTAAATTTCTACTTAGTTTTCTGAATAAAGCTGTTATTAGTCAGTTTGTTTTGGGATTATTTGTATAAACTTCAATGTATAGAAATACTTTGAGATATGGTTTAAATACACCCTCACCCCCATGGTGTAGGACAATTCATTTTCTTTCCTAGTTAACCTCTTCTCCTCTTCAATTCCCCCTCCAGTTCTCTGGTTTCCATTTCTTTCCTTGCTAGCAATGGTGCATATTCTGTTAAGAACCAGTGGAAAGAAAGGTGGAGAAAGGATTGCTGAAGATTATATTCTGTAGGAGGCGGACTACTGGAAGTTTTCTGATTAATAGGAGGGACTGCACCTTGTACATGCAGAGGCTGAGGACTACCATGGCTGGAGATTGTTGTGAAGCTGCTGCGGCTACCTGAGACAGAAAACTGCTGAAGCTTAACAAGGCTTGGTGATGGGGGATGATGAAGGACTGCAGGCTGTCAGGTGGATAGATTTTGGAGAACCAGTTCAGGAAAGAAATCCAAGGACTGATCAAGAAAACTCCAAAGGAAGGTGAGTCTTCTTGGTGGCATGCATGTGTTTATCAAGAAGACATAGCTAAACTTATATATATATATATATATATATTGGAAGTATAAAGTATAAAGTATTATTTATAAAACAATCAACACTATAAGGACAGAATTCATGGCAAGTAAATGAACTTTCAATGTTAATTAAATGAAGAAATAGGAAAATCAGACCTCTCGAACATCCTCAACAAAAGCTTCATGAGAACCACCATAAGACCCAACATCCAGTCTTAAATCTATAGTGCGGAAGTCCAAAGGGCGAGAAACCATGGCAGGCGAACCAAGAATGCCTTCATCCTCATTGTCATTGGGGTTCAGTAAGGAAGTGCCAATTAAATTGCAGAATACTTTTGATTCATCACCCAATATAGCAGAGCGCAGCACAATGCGACATTTTTTCATAATTGCATCCGACACAGAAATGGGGCATTTCTCTTTCTGTCTCTTGTGGAACTTCTGATGTACACTTCCTGCAGTTGCCTGGGCCAACACAGACAAAACCGCTTTCTGTGCCAAAACCAATCAGAAAAATAGGATTAAGCACATAATTTCCATATTAAATAAAACAGAAGTAGAAAAACAAGATGATGCATTGAAAAAAGCACAGCTATAGTGACGACATGTATGCACAAAAAGAAATAAAACCTCATCAGAGTATAGGAAAACAACAGAGGAAATAAAGGTTCGCCAGAGTATTCAATGAATCTTTGTCTTAATATTTCAATTGAAAAATCAAGGTGTAAAGCGATAAAAAAAAGACTACTTAACCTTGGTAGGCCCGGATGCATTCCCTTTGTAAACTTCCTTGCTGATTGAATGCTGCAGAATTTCCTTTGCCCAATCTGGAGGATCCTTCTCTAGAGAATTATAGATGCACCTTCTGATCCTAGTCCCAACATTAGTAGGTAGCTTTCTAACAGGTTCCAAAGGTTGCGCCCACTCAGGAAGGCTGCAAGCAGTATCAACAGTTGGTTCACAACCACCCCCTGCTTCAGAATACTTGAAATCAACTTTCAAAACTTCAACATCATGTTTTGCTGAATCAGATATTTGCCTTTCAGCCTCTGCAAGCAGCTGATAATTTTACAAATTAGTAAGCCTACACGCTTAAAATGTATCTCCAGGTTCATAACCTTACAAATATTTACAATAAAAACAAAATCAAAGATATTACAAAATACACAAACGAAAGTATAGAATAGATTGACAATTCATTGAACAAGGAGAGTCAACTCCCAAACATAAAAGCCACAGCTGAAAAAAGAGAGAGAAGTCTGATCCATGAGTAAACTAATAAAGCACCTTCAACTGGTACTTCCCAGTAAAGCTAATAGGCATGTCAATGCAGCAAAACCATGTATCTACACTGCTGCTTGTCATGATAAATAATTTTCAATAACACAAGATGGCGCAGGTATAATATAAGATTACATGGTTAAACTAGGACTACGAAAACAACAATACCTTGAGATGGAAGCACCATATGATATTTCTATTTACAATCACGTAACTTTTTTTTTTAATTTTTCCACGAAGCCTTTTAGGATACTCAAGGTTTAAAAAGTGTTCGAGGAATGCCTCACCATGAGGTGTCTAGTTAGGGGTCTAAACGAGTCGAGTCGAGCTCGAGTCAGGGGTGGTCGAGCTCGACTCGCGACACTATATCGAGCTCGTCGAGACACACGATTTCCCGTTCATCACTTTCCCGCCCGGTTTTGATTTTCCCGCCCATTTCGAACATGTGGATAGCCGACACGGAACTCGAACAAAGAAGGTTGCTGGCTTGAGCTCAAGAGCCTTCAGCATTTATTAGAAAAGAAAGCTACTTTTCTTCACATCTTTTAAATTATATATATTTTTTGAAAATTTCATTGTTTTAGTAACTAAAAAGTTGTTTTCATTTATTAGCATTTATTGGTATTGATGTTCGAGAATTTTTTTATTACGCTGTTGTTGAATATTACATTAAATTTTTTTAAAACTTTTAAATATAATAAAAATATTAATGATTCAAAAAAAAATTTAACAGTAGTTCAAGCAGGCTCGTGAGCTCACGAGTCAAGCTTCATCAAGCACGAACTCGAGCTCGTTTACAAAACGAGCTCGAACTCGAGCTCGAGCTCTCGAGCTCGGCTCGTGAGCTCGATAAGCTCGACTCGCGAGCCCATAAACGAATCGAGCTCGAGCCGGCACAGAAGCCGGCTCAGCTCACTTACACCCCTATGTCTAGTAAGCGCTTTAAAACTTAAAAAAATTCTAGCTTGGGTGAGACTTACACTTTTTCATTTGAGACATGCCTCAAATCATGAGGCAAAAATCTTAAATTACCATTTACTTCAATAAAATATACTTTTATTTTTGTTTCCAAACAACAAATATTTTAACTAGAATGTGAAAAGGATGCATGATAACACCATTACATAAGTTTGCATCAACAAATTAAAAGAAATTCATCCTACAAGCTAATAACAAGCGTATAGAACAGTGAGTATCCTAGAGATATGGATATCATGCTAATATCATGCATGGGGGTGGGCAAATAATTTTTTCCAAGTCTTTAGGTTTAGAATTTAAACCAATATGGCGATAGAGGGGAGCAATTTGGAGGAGAGCGAGCACTTGTAAGTGAGAGTAGTTAAATGCTGGCGAGCATCTACAACCGAGAGTCAAGGAAATCGCATGCTAATCAATCAATTACTGTAGGAAGCAAGTGCTTACAAGTGGACTTAGACTTCCACGTCAAGCTTTGTGGGTGGGTGCTAGTTTTCTTTCATTATTTACTATTTTTAATTTTTAAATTGATTTTTAATTAAGTATTAAATTAATATTAAATACTAAGATTTGCTCATTTTTTCTTATTGTAGGATTTAGTTGCTTTTATTGATGAGCTAAGTTAATATGCTGAAATTTTATAGCATTTTATGAATTGCCTTTTTTTTAGACTTACACCCCAATCCCAATTGAGGCTAACACCTCATCTCAATGAGGTAAAACATCTAAGTTCCCAATTTCGCATTTTTAAATTTTGATAATAATATGTCAAAAGATCCCCATGTTTGAAGCTGATATTGAAACTGACATTTGAAAGCATGGCAAAAAATCAATTGCCTGTATTTTATTTTCCCAACCTCTAATGGGAAGCCAGGTAGTTCACAAGAAAAAAATATTTATGGATAATTAAGATGCATCTTCCACCCCAAGCAAGAGAAAAATACACAAGGAGATTGTTGACAAATTACTAAAAAAAACAAAGGGAAGAAACTTCAGCATAAACGGTATCAAGAATACCACCATTCTAAAACTTCAAACTTTAATTACTTTTGATAAGTATTGGCATCTGTAGTGAAGGATCGGTGGTGCTCAGATATTTCAAACCTTTATTCGGGTTAAAGCTCAACCTAATAGCCTACATAGTGGATTAATAGCAACCATCTTCTATCTTCTCAATTTGGTTGTGTGGCTTGCATGAGAGTTTGAAAATTTACTATTTTTGGAAGAAGAAGAGATGATGGGGAACTCCAAAACAGGATAAAAATAGAAGAATTTTTTGCAAAAGCAAATTATATAGAGTGGAAGTACAAAGGCGGTGAGAATTTCATCAAATGCCCTAAATTCCCTCTTGCCTTTAATACATGCCAAATGACATCTCAATAAAGAGAAAATCTGACAAGAAATAAAACTCACATGACACTAATTCAACAACAACAACATCAAGCCTTTATCCAATACGTGGTGTTGGCTACATGAATCATTTTTTCTCCATTGTGTCCTGTTAAGAGTCAAATTCTCATTTCCAAGTTTTTAGGTTTAGAATTTAAACCAATTTAGCGATAGAGGGGAGCAATTTGGGAGGAGAGCGACCACTTGTAAGTGAGAGTAGTCGAGTGCTGGCAAGCATCCGCAAGCGAGAGTCAAAGAAATCGCATGCTAATCAATCAATTAATGTATGAAGCAAGTGCCAACAAGTGGGCATAGACTTCCACGTCAAGCTTTATGGGTAGGAGATAGTTTTCTTTCATTATTTACTATTTTTATATTTTTAAATTGATTTTAATTTAAGTATTAGATTAATACTAAATACTAAGATTTGCTCTGTTTTTTCTTATTGTTGGAATTTATGGCTTTCAATGATGAGCTGAGTTGATATGCTGAAATTTAATAGCATTTTATGAATTACTTTTTTTTTTTAGACTTACACCCCAATCCCACTTGAGGCTAACACACGTCTCAATAAACAAAACATCTAAGTTCCCAACTTCGCATTTTTAAATTTTGATAATAATATGTCAAAAGATCCCCATGTTTGAAGCTGATATTGAAACTGACATTTGAAAGCATAGTAAAAAATCAATTGCTCGTATTTTATTTTCCCAACCTCTAGTGGGAAGCCAGGTGGTTCACAGAAAAAAAAAAAGATTTATGGATAATTAAGATGCATCTTCCACCCCAAGCAAGAGAAAAATACATAAGGAGATTGTTGACACGTTACTAAAAAAACAAAGTGAAAACTTCAGCATAAACGGTATCAAGAATACAACCATTCTAAAACTTCAAACTTTAATTACTGTTGATAAGTATTGGCATCTTTAGTGAAGGATCGGTGGTGCTTAAATATTTCAAGCCATTTTTTTGGGTTAAAGCTAACCTAATAGCCTACATAGTGGATTAATAGCAACCATGTTCTATCTTCTCAATTTGTTTGTGTGGCTTGCATGAGAGTTTGAGAATTTATTGTTTTTGGAAGAATAAGACATGAGGGGGGACTCCAAAACAGGATAAGAAATAGAAGAGTTTTTTGCAAAAGCAGATTGCATTTAAATTCCAATTCTACATACAAGAGGGTCTCTTGGGGGGGGACGGGGGGGGGGGGGGTTTGGGGGGGGGGGGGGGGGGGGTTAACTTATGTGCCAAAGCTCTTGGGCTGCTATGTTATAGCTCATTAATGCTTGAGCTGCCGTTTTTTCAGCTCATTACTATGGGAAGTTCTACTTTTTAGCTCATTATGTGGAGTGAATTCTTATTCTTTCCCCTTCCCTTGGCCTTTTGGTTTCCCCCACCTGGCTCCTTTTCCCGTGGATGGTTCCTTCCCCCCTTGGCTGCCTGTTCCGATTCCCTGTGGTGCCCGTTCCTGTCTCCCATGGTTGCCTTTCCGATTCCCTGTGTGGCCCTTCGGGTGCTGCTCCTGGACCGTTTGCTGGCCTTCCATTTCCCCAGTCCTGATTGGATTGGTTGGAGGTAGTTTTGGGCTGTTTGGCTGCCCCTTTTCTCCTATATATATAAGATGTTTTGGTGCTTAAAAAGAGAGAGTTATATGATACTTTTTGGAGCCAAAACCTGAGGGTTTTCTTCTTGTAAAAGCTTGTAAGCTAGTTCCATTCCTTTTCTTCTTGGGAAAGCTTGCGAGCTTGTCCTCTCTTTCGTCTCGGGCTTCTTACCTCTTTCTTCTCTCCGCAAGTTCCATACCACTTGTATCTTTCTTCTCGACAAATGAAAAGCATTTTTAAGTGTTTCTAAGTTCTAAGTTTGTATGTGTCGTCTTTCAATTATTAAAGTGAAGTTGTTTTTTGTTTAATTGTTGTATTTTGGTATTTTGTGGTATTTTGGAAGGTGTCCTAGTTTGTATGTAATTTTAACAATTTATTGGTTGCATCACTTATAAAGAGTGGAAGTAGAAAGTAGAAAGGCAGTGAGAATTTCATCACATGCCCTAAATTCCCTCTTGCCTTTAATACATGCCAAATGACATCTCAATAAAGAGAAAATCTGACAAGAAATAAAACTCACGTGACATTAATACAACAACAACATTAAGCCTTTATCCCACTACGTGGGGTCGGCTACATGAATCCTTTTTCTCCATTGTGTCCTATTAAGAGTAAATATCTCATTTAAATCTAACAAAGAAATGTCATTTCTAATATTTTCTAACAAAGTCTTCTAAGGTCTACAACTACTCTCCTAACAAGGTCATCAGAAGGCCGCTGTTTTACATAACCAGATCATCTAAGGCGACTCACTCAAAAATTATCTGTCACTGGAGCAACTCAAACGAAAACATTTAAACTCTAAGTCAC